TTGGATTTAATTTCCAGACTCCAGAGGCTAGCCCATTCAGCTAATTTACTTAGATCGTTTGTAGTACCAACCTATCATCGTTACTATTTACGGTTTTCCATATCTTAATGTCGTCCGCCAATAATAAGGAAGATGAAGTGAGATTTTTCGTAGTTGATTTGCGTATAATGGGAACATCAGGGGGCCAAGAACAGTTCCCTGATGTACTCCACTTATTACTGCTTTCCACCCTTGCAGCACACCATTAACCCTTACCTTCTGCCTTCTATCCATCAGGTAGTGGCTAAACCACTCACATAGGCGTTGGTCTAATCCAAAACGTTTGAGTTAACTATGATGACCTAAGTGGGATACCTTATCGAATGATTTACTAAGGTCGCTGAAGATAACGTCGAGTAGATGGTTCTTATCCCTGGCTTCGTTCCAATCTTCTGTGGATAACAGTAAGTTTGTCAGACAGAGTACACGGCGTGAAAGAACTGGAAGAGAACGAGATATATCTGTGAGGAGCACAGGCTCTCCTTGTGATTAACTCAAGAAACCGACCTCCACAGGAAATAGTTCCTCCGCCTTAAAACTAAACCATCAAGAGGCCTGTAGGTGAGGACGGGTGATGAATACATGGTGAAAATATCAATTAACCTAAATACTCATCTGTCGTTTAACGTAAATGTGGCAGGCAGTGGTTAGATGTGCATTGAAAACCCCTGAAGATCTGCGGCCAACTTTAACAATGAAGAGGCAACTTTTAGGATGCAATACACGCAATCAAACCTACAGAGATGCATTGAATTCAGAAGACTGTAGCGCATAGTGCGGCTTCAGTGTCTTCAGATGAATCGTGTGTGTCTCTTAGTTCGTTGCAAGGAATATTGTGCTTATCAAAGATGAGTGACAAATAATGAGAGAGGAAGAAACAACAGCTATGAGTGATGTAAAAATCAGTTGAAACAGCAGTGTACACTCCGAAAGGCATTGATTCATTCACTTTGTTTGAATACACCCGGAAAACCAGTGAACCCTGGCGGCGTACTTGTTCATATCACATGGCAGGAGGGAAAAAGAAAAACAAGGTTTCTGCTGGTAGTGTTGGGGTAATATTCCAGTCCTATGAATGTTCATCAAGTTGTTATAGGCAATCCAGGCATCCAAATCATTTGCAGTTGTTTCGGAGAACAAGGAGCCTAAACTTGATTGCAGTCAATGGCCACTATTGTTGAAGGTAACTGAGTGCTCATGCTGTAATGTAGTAGAATGTTCATCTGATGAATGTCCGAGAATGCCATTTCGAGGCAGATACCACAGGATACTCTCCTCTACACAGACCCTTAGACGAATACATCAAGTAAGCCCAGTTTATCACTAACCCTTTTTTCAAGGAGTGGAGTCATCAACCTTGACAAACCATGCAATCCATCCTCACACGAAGTAGTTGCATGGGTTAAAAGAGCTCTCGGAGTCACTAAAACTGGTCACAGTGGCACACTGGACCCTAAAGTCTCTGGTTGTCTTATGGTTTGTATTGACCGTGCCACTCGCCTGGTCAAGTCTCAACAGAGTGCTGGTAAAGACTATATATGTATATTCCGACTACACAAACCTGTGGATGATGTGAAGCGTATACAGAAAGTGAGTGATCTAACTGTTTTTTCTGTTTGTGCACTGCTGTCTTCATATGAAATTGATTGAACGCGCCTCTGAACCCTTTTAGGCTGTGGAGAGTCTGACAGGAGCTTTATTCCAGCGGCCTCCACTTGTCGCGGCGGTCAAGCGTCAGCTTAGAGTTCGTACTATTTATGAGTGCAGATTATTGGAGTACAACAAGGAAGAATGTTTAGGTAAGTGCCCGAGATCTCACGCCTCTTTATGTTTAGGACTGGTGAAGGTGAGATGTGAGGCTGGAACATACGTTCGAACGCTGTGCGTACATATCGGTCTCCTCCTCGGTTGTGGAGGTGTTATGGAAGAGCTGAGGCGGACACGGAGTGGTTTCATATCAGAATCAGTATGTGCATGCAATATTGTCTGTTTAACGTTGTAGGACAATTTAGTTACAATGCATGATGTTCTAGACGCCAAATGGCTATATGAAAACAGGCGTGATGAGACTTATCTACGTCGTGTCATAATGCCACTCGAGAAGCTGCTCATCAAACACAAGCGTATTATGCTCAAGGATACGGCAGTAAGTTCGTTTTTTCTATGCATTATCAATGATCACCAAAGGTGTGTGCTATATGCTTTGGCGCAAAACTAATGTTGCCTGGCGTACTACGTTATGACAACGACATTAATATAAATGACGAAATAGTCTTGATGACCACCAAAGGCGAGGCTGTAGCCCTTGGTAAGTCTACTTGGACTGACATTATTATCTTGAAGCTATCGCTCTGATGACTACTGCTACCATTGCAACGTGTGACCATGGATTGGTTGCTAAATTGAAAAGAGTTATAATGGAACGTGATCTATACCCTCGACAATGGGGTCGTGGTCCTGTGGCTATGGAGCGAAAGAAACTTGTTGCTCAAGGATTGTTGAGAAAGTTTGCAAAACCTGGTGAAGTCATGAGTACTCCAAACTCCGTTGGGTAAATTGTCAATATCACTATCCTGTTCTAATATTTTCAGCGTGAATCAGAACTCTAAAAAGGCGAAGACGGAAGAGTCAGCGGAAAATCCAATGTAAGTGGACTGATTGTAATTGATATCCTCTGTAGGCAAAAAGTGAAAGTTCCAAAACTTTCTGAGTCCGGCGATACAAGTAATGACGAATCTGTAAGGTGAGTCCAATAAGTCTTGGTTATAATGATCAAGCATATGTCTGTCTACTGATGACGTAATCTTCTGATAGCCCTTTCCACTTATTCCCATTGTAGTATATCCAGTTCTTTTTGTTTTCAGACAAGAAGCGGATGCTGAAGAAGTGTCCTCGGACGACAGCGATTAACTGCGCATTTTTGTACATATGACTTGATGAATAAACTGCATATTTTCGCAACACTCTTCTATACAACCCGGGACATAAGGGTCGTAGCCTAAACGGGGGAGTATCAGTTGAGAAAATGAGTTGATCAAACCGCAGATTTATGTGCCTGTCGAAATGAGGATAGGTTAGTGCAAGTCGAACTTTGATGAGAGAGAGATGTTGGAGTGTAGAGACCCAGTCGGTCCCGAAATTGACCGCACGACCAAGCGTTAAACACGCTCGTACACTTGATAGGAGTTTATGGCTATCTGAGTGTGCTCCTTTTGTTTTAAGTGTATAGCTATTTCGTAACCAATGCCCAAGGACTAAGGGTTATGCGTGCTAAGTGTAGACAAATAAGACTGATTCAAAAACTACGTGGGTGGGTGAGGTCGTATCTGTTACGTGGAATGTATTTAGGTGTGTATCACTACAATCTTTGTTAACGTTGAATGCAGTAGTGCTTTTGTGGGTGATTGTGTGTTGTTAGTTTGGTCCACTGTCATTGTGTTATGATTGATGTTGTATATCTGTTTGAATTAATACCAGTTGAGTTTTGCTGTGATTGATATGAAATCTATCTCCCCTGTGAAGTGTTGTGATAGGGTGAGCAATATTGCGGTTATGCGTCGAGTGCTAGGTGAAGAGAGGGAATCAATCGAGGAGGCTGTGAAGTTACATCGACTGAAAAAGCTAAGACATGTGTTACGTATACTTAGTCATCGCCTTCCTCGACAGGTAATGTTAGTTGACATAGGGTCACGCTAAAAATAGTTAGTGGTGGTTAAACGAAAACATGGCAAAAGACAGTGTAATCTATAACAGTTGGTTTAAGCCACGTAGGAAAATGTGGACTTCCTGAATATCTGGCTGGGGTCCTCTGAACGGTAAAACCCAATAGCTGTGGACAATTGGTGATATGGCTCGCAATCGTTATCAATGCCTGGCGCAAATGCATCATCTACCTGTGAGTTATAGTAACCAATGCAACAATATAGTTTATAGTTCTTACTATTCCCTATGCCTCGCATCCCTGTTTACTGTCTCTATTTTGCATTTCTTTTCACTTTCTTCTCTTGCTTTGTGTGCTACATGGAGTGTGACGACTTGAACTGCTGCACATCGGTGCAAAGTTCTATGTGGAAAGCAGACAGACGTGATATGTGTTGAGTATTGTTGTATGCAGAGACTAATCGGAGAATGTGATTCACCTAATTGATGTCTTGCTTACTGTCATTTAAGTGAACATGTTAGCCACTAAGCGAGTGCTATGCTGTTTCAATCAGGCAGATCAGACAACGATTTGGGTAGGCATCTTACCAACGTTTGCAGCACACAAATAGTGGGACAGGTAGACAAGCACTCTGGAAATGGTGTAAGCTCTCACACTTTTCGATTTTGATTGTGACCGCTGTTTGGACTTGTGGGCTGGTCAGCCGCTGTTTGCCAAGGCCTGCTCCTTCCACTGCTTAAAATTGGGTGATAGGAGTAGGAGTTTCAGGGGTTTGTCACAACTGAAGTGTCAGACACGTGGAGACAGATGCGAGATAGAATCGTGTCACATAGGAAAGATAGATTTGAGGTCAGTGAGATTGAATTCGCCAACAACTCTATTTTATCAGAGTTGAACGAGGGTGTTTCTAGGCGTAAAGAGGATAGGATGTAAGCCATGTCAGATACTGACCCGGTTCTATCGGTGCCCACAGATATCAACCAAGACTAGTCCGAAGTAAGCAGTCGAATTCATGTAACAGGCGAGTGGGAGAAACAAGTAGTTTATATACATGAGTGCATATTGTGGAGTGCGGTCGAAACAGTGCCTACGAGTCTATGTGAATGGAATAACAATTGTTTACGAAAGACAATTCACCCTAGGTTTTGGAAAGCTGTGTCATCCTTGTGAGAGTAGCATTTCTCAGATGGTCTACTGGTCAACTTAACTGTATCTGATGTGGAGGCGTGCGTAGCGAATATGTGGTCTGCAATAGGGTTAGTAGAGGCTGTTGAAGATCAGTAATTGCAGTCCGTTGATTTTCGTGTTCACACACAGACATATGTGTACATAGATCCATCTCGGATTATGTTCTTTGATCTGACAAAGTCCGATAAGGCTGCCTGACATTCGTTGATATCTGTGGATCAGGCGTATATTTGGCAATACAAACACTTGTAGAATGGATTATTTTGTGACGCAGGTTGCCTGTTTTCTGTTGCGATTCAATGAGGATCTGTCGTCTGACTAGGGAGAGTGCCTTAAATATCTAGTCAATTCCACACATGTACATGAATGAAGGAAAAAAGTTGTGTGAGTAACTTGATATGATTATGAGCAATAGTTTGTGCTCGAAACGTCATCAGTTAATATTACTGTATAACACTGTGTGATTTATCAAAATAAAATCTCATCCATAATGGAGTTATACTCTACCACAGTGCCCAAGTTTTATGCTTATATCAAGAGTGCCTTAAAGTTCCATGCTGAGAATGATGTCACAGTTGGAGACTTTCTTTACGAGATATCCGGGAGATGAAGGAGAAGAACGAACCCAAGTGTGCAGTATTCCTAAGTTATGAATTATTCCCGACTGTTGCTTCGTTATTACTATTCCTTTTGTCTCATGTCTCTGTTTACTGTCTCTATTTTGCATTTCTTTTCACTTTCTTCTCTTGCTTTGTGTGCTACATGTAGTGTGACGATGAACTGCCCAGATTCCTGAAACCTCGCATGCTACTTTGCATCGCTAACGCAACCTTTGGTGTGACCAGTTCACCGTAGGAGGCAACATTGAAGAATGCCGAATCTCTTCTATATGTCCTTTTTCCCTTAACATCTGGCAGTCTTGTATCCCCCAGAGAGTACGACGTGTAAGACCTCTGACCTAGGTACATTACCGCGCTTTCCTTGGATTTAATTTCCAGACTCCAGAGGCTAGCCCATTCAGCTAATTTACTTCGGTCGTTTGTAGTACCAACCTATCGTCGTTACTATTTACGGTTTTCCATATCTTAATGTCGTCCGCCAATAATAAGGAAGATGAAGTGAGATTTTTCGTAGTTGATTTGCGTATAATGGGAACATCAGGGGGCCAAGAACAGTTCCCTGATGTACTCCACTTATTACTGCTTTCCACCCTTGCAGCACACCATTAACCCTTACCTTCTGCCTTCTATCCATCAGGTAGTGGCTAAACCACTCACATAGGCGTTGGTCTAATCCAAAACGTTTGAGTTAACTATGATGACCTAAGTGGGATACCTTATCGAATGATTTACTAAGGTCGCTGAAGATAACGTCGAGTAGATGGTTCTTATCCCTGGCTTCGTTCCAATCTTCTGTAGATAACAGTAAGTTTGTCAGGCAGAGTACACGGCGTGAAAGCACTGGAAGAGAACGAGATATATCTGTGAGGAGCACAGGCTCTCCTTGTGATTAACTCAAGAAACCGACCTCCACAGGAAATAGTTCCTCCGCCTTAAAACTAAACCATCAAGAGGCCTGTAGGTGAGGACGGGTGATGAATACATGGTGAAAATATCAATTAACCTAAATACTCATCTGTCGTTTAACGTAAATGTGGCAGGCAGTGGTTAGATGTGCATTGAAAACCCCTGAAGATCTGCGGCCAACTTTAACAATGAAGAGGCAACTCTTAGGATGCAATACACGCAATCAAACCTACAGAGATGCATTGAATTCAGAAGACTGTAGCGCATAGTGCGGCTTCAGTGTCTTCAGATGTATCGTGTGTGTCTCTTAGTCCGTTGCAAGGAATATTGTGCTTATCAAAGATGAGTGACAAATAATGAGAGAGGAAGAAACAACAGCTATGAGTGATGTAAAAATCAGTTGAAACAGCAGTGTACACTCCGAAAGGCATTGATTCATTCACTTTGTTTGAATACACCCGGAAAACCAGTGAACCCTGGCGGCGTACTTGTTCATATCACATGGCAGGAGGGAAAAAGAAAAACAAGGTTTCTGCTGGTAGTGTTGGGGTAATATTCCAGTCCTATGAATGTTCATCAAGTTGTTATAGGCAATCCAGGCATCCAAATCATTTGCAGTTGTTTTGGAGAACAAGGAGCCTAAACTTGATTGCAGTCAATGGCCACTATTGTTGAAGGTAACTGAGTGCTCATGCTCTAATGTAGTAGAATGTTCATCTGATGAATGTCCGAGAATGCCATTTTGAGGCAGATACCACAGGATACTCTCCTCTACACAGACCCTTAGACGAATACATCAAGTAAGCCCAGTTTATCACTAACCCTTTTTTCAAGGAGTGGAGTCATCAACCTTGACAAACCATGCAACCCATCCTCACACGAAGTAGTTGCATGGGTTAAAAGAGCTCTCGGAGTCACTAAAACTGGTCACAGTGGCACACTGGACCCTAAAGTCTCTGGTTGTCTTATGGTTTGTATTGACCGTGCCACTCGCCTGGTCAAGTCTCAACAGAGTGCTGGTAAAGACTATATATGTATATTCCGACTACACAAACCTGTGGATGATGTGAAGCGTATACAGAAAGTGAGTGATCCAACTGTTTTTTCTGTTTGTGCACTGCTGTCTTCATATGAAATTGATTGAACGCGCCTCTGAACCCTTTTAGGCTGTGGAGAGTCTGACAGGAGCTTTATTCCAGCGGCCTCCACTTGTCGCGGCGGTCAAGCGTCAGCTTAGAGTTCGTACTATTTATGAGTGCAGATTATTGGAGTACAACAAGGAAGAATGTTTAGGTAAGTGCCCGAGATCTCACGCCTCTTTATGTTTAGGACTGGTGAAGGTGAGATGTGAGGCTGGAACATACGTTCGAACGCTGTGCGTACATATCGGTCTCCTCCTCGGTTGTGGAGGTGTTATGGAAGAGCTGAGGCGGACACGGAGTGGTTTCATATCAGAATCAGTATGTGCATGCAATATTGTCTGTTTAACGTTGTAGGACAATTTAGTTACAATGCATGATGTTCTAGACGCCAAATGGCTATATGAAAACAGGCGTGATGAGACTTATCTACGTCGTGTCATAATGCC